GGCCGCGGAGAACCGGAGTAAGCGCCAGGAGTGGCGCCGCGGCGAGTTCCGCCGCATCGAGCACATCGGGGTCGAGGCGGCCCCAGATGACCCCGCGGCCCCCGCCCCCGCCACACGGAGGATGGAAGAAGATGTACGCAGCCATCGCTGCATTACGACAGCTACCTGGAAGTGCACGGACACAACTACGAGCTGCTGGTGCATGTGTCGTACCGCGGAGGCTTCGGCGTTGCCCAGTATGCACGCTCCCGCCTGCGGATGTGGCGGCGAAGCTCATGAGTTCTATACTACGGACGAAATGTCTCTGGTGGTGCCGTGGGCGCTTTTGGTCCTTGCATATTCAGTACCACCCAGTGCATTCTAATGTCCTCACGGCAGTGCGCCGTTTGACCGACTGGGAGCTGGACTACAACCCCTGGGTCGAGCACAACCTACAGTCCTTCCTCGAGGCGATAGGTTTGGTTTTCGTGCAAAGGAATCAGATTCCAGCTGGACCCAGGAGTCGGACCCAAGGGCGAAGCGTATTTTTCAAGGCCGCCAAGGCTACTGGAGCTCTGAAAGTGAGCGAGTATTTCATGCATTGCGAGCCGTGTGCCGTTTACGTGCGTTGACGGCGGCGACCCCAGCTCGGCGTGATTTACCTGGTATGGGCGTTGTTGATATGGAGGCCCTTCCGGGCAAAGCGTGGAAGAAGTTCAGAGACGCCATCTCGCCGACGGACTGGCAGAAGGTTATGAGTTACATGTGCGGGGCGGCCAAATCCCACACGCGCGGAGGGAATCACGACGTCGACTGTGGCCCGTACTGCCCGCTGCGGCGAGGCCTATTGGCCCTCGGTCCGCAACTGCGTGAAGGAGTGCGCCGCACTCGCGGATTTCAGAGGCCAGCTCACCGACTCCTGCGGCGCGCCTGCGACCTGGTGGACCTCCCTGCCGAAAGTGGCGCCGAGCCGGGGGTGGATCACTTAGTCAGCGCATCGAGTCGCTGAGCGGAGATCAGAGTTAATGGCGGCGACGCGAGTCCGCATGGGCTTGTTCCATGTGCCCACTAGTTCGGGGATGAGAAGCAACAAGCCTTATGCACGACGGAGACTGTCTGCGTGAGAGTATCATTTCTTGCAAGAGATAATTGTGCTAAATAATGCCTGTCGGAAGACTTGATATTGATCTGACTGGGAGCGTCAGAGCTGCTTGTGAATTTCCACACCCTGGTCATTATTGGCATTCTGATGTCTTGGGAAGAAGCTTTATGATTAGCTTGGTTATTTGATGCATACCCAGGTTCAAACTCAAGTTCGGTCGTTCTTGACTACACCGAGCCCCAGACGACGAAGCAGCCCAGGTGCGAGGGTGGCTGGGCGGGGTCGAACCAGCGCGCACCGACGCCCATGGAGTCCGAGGCGACCGCGCCGCCGATCGCTGCGAGCCATGCCCCCGCACGGCGGTGCAACGTCTCGGGGCTGACGTTCCAATCGCCACGTGGAACCCAGCTCCGCCCCGCCCACTGAACGGCGCCGTGAACTGCCATCAATGCGCCCCAACTCTCGCCCCCCCTGTCGTCCGTGGCCAAAAAGACGGACCCGAGAAGTGCGCCTGCCGCGTCGGCTCCTTCGACGCACGCGACGATGGTTTTGCCCCGGTCGACGCGAGCTGAGCCTACCCCCAGCGGCCCCGCCATGCCCCTGCGCCCCCCGACAGCAATGACCGCGCCGCCGCCAGCCGCTCGCGCCCTATTTGCACCCCCCGACCCTGCTGCCCCAGCAGCGAGGGTCGCGCGGACGCCCGCCATCCTGCACCGCTGCCCCCAGGTCGCCGCCCGCGGGCAGTGCGAGCGATGCCCCTGGAAGCAGCGCACGCTCGCTCGGCGGGACTTCGCAACGCAGCAATTCGCCCCCGCTCCAAAGCGACGCGAGAGCGCCCCAGCCGCTACCGTTCACCATAGGGATGCAGAAGAGCACGCTCCGCCTCTGCCACCTTCCCGGCGCGCCCGGTGAACTTGCCGCCGTGACTGCCGCAACGCAGCCGCTGTCGCCCTTCCGATCGCACCCCCTACCTCCGCACTAGCATCTGCCTGCTGCACCGCTGAAGGGCGGCGACAAAATTCCCCCCCCCCAGCCCCGCCAGGGCCCGATGCCCCAGGATCTGCTTCGGCAGGAGCACCGCTACCACCAGCGCCAGCGCCGCCCATGAGGGTGCCTGGCACAGCGTTGAGCTCAGTGGCGTTATTCTCTGTCCTGACCTCGGAGCGTTCCTCGCCGCCCCGGCCTCGGATCGCCCCATGCGTTCTCTGCCTCGGAGATGGCCCTGGCGACCTCCTGCGCGGGTCGAACAAGCTCGCCGCGGGCCTCGACGTGCCCCGGGGCGAGCAGGCCCCGCACCTGCTCGAGCAGCTCGTCGAACCTCCGCGCCCTTGCCGCTGAATTTGCCGTTGCGTATCCACCTCTTCCTGTTGGCGCAACTTGCTCGGCCCCGCGCGCCAGCGGCGCGCCCAGGGCCCCCCGGCGCAGCTGCCTGTATCCACGCATCGAAAAGCTTGGCGCCCAGGCTCTCGGCCTCCAGCTCGAGCTCGCCCGCCCCCGTGGACTCCGCGCCGCGCTTCTTCGCGAGGCCCCTGATCCGATCGGACGGCAGCTGGCCCCCAAGGCCTGCACCTCCGTGAGCTTGCTCTCGCGGAGGGCCCCCGCACCCTCGATGAACTTGAGCGCTCGCAGCTCATTTCGCAGCCTGGCCAGGGTGGCGGCGTCCGCCGCTGAGGCTACGACAGGCGACTCCTATCCCTGCGCCTCCTTGAACTTCGCCTGCAGCCGCCATCCCTCGCGCTGCGCCCGTCAGGGCTTCTGTTGCGGAAAGTCGCATGTATCTGTGCGTTTCCACAGTGGGCCACCGCGTCCGTCGGCGCCGCTCGACCGCGACCCGTCCCTGCCCGACGGCGTTGCCGCCCCGCGACCACGACGGCAGTCGCGCAAGATCGATGTGTCGCCATGGCCGCGCTCGGATAACGCTGGCCGCTGCGCCTCGACGCCCCGCTGCCGCCGCCACCCGCCGCGCCGCCGCCGCGCGCCATGACGGGCCCCTCTCTGGATATGGATCAAATATATGGGATATCCCGGCCCCGCTCGCAGGAATTGGCATCGACTCTGGCTCAAGCGCAACGCCTCGCGTTCGAAACGCCGCAGAGCGACTCGCAGTCGTCCGCTATGGCGACGACTGAACGTGAGGCTGCTGCTGCTGACGATGGTGGCAACGGTGATCTTGCTGACGGCACTGAGAATCGATAACGGAGATTATGCGGACGATGACGACAAATGAATAACATGAGAAGATGACAGTGATGAGCACGATGGTGAAGATGGCAATGGCGAAGATGATGACGAAGAAGAAGAAGCTGAAGATGAGGACGATGACGATGACTATGATGATGACGGCGGTGGTGTTGACGATGACGACGATCATGATGATGAGGATGAAAAGGAGGAGGAGGAGGATAATGATGATGATGATGATGATGATGATGATGATGATGATGATGATGATGATGATGATGATGATGATGATGATGATGATGATGATGATGATGATGATGAAAATGGCAGGATACTCTCCTTGCAGCGTCAGCCACAGCCTGGCAGGTGCGAAATGACGGGACGGCCGTTCAGGGCAGCCCGCGCGCGCCCAGCCGCGGCCCCGCGTCGGCGTCTAGCGCAGTCGTGACAGGAGGGCGGCAGAGGCCCTCGCGGACACCTGCCGCGCAAACTCCATCCCGAGGCGAGTGGCGGGCTCGCCAGGGAGGACAGCAGCGCCCCGGGTTGCGGCAGCGATGTCCACGACGAGCTGCTGCGCAGCAGGCCCGAACCTGCCCTCGGTCCCGACAGCAAACGGGACGACCGCCTCGCCGCACTGGTCCTTTTTGCGTTTCCCCGCGTCGCGTGCCTCGTGGCCGATGGCACGCACTGCCCCGGACTTTTCGGGCGAGCGCACGGCCACGTCCACCCACGTCGGCACAGGCAGGCCCGGCCAGCTGACGACGAGGTCAAGCCGCGCCTCGGCACGCAAAGTTTCATGTTGTCGGCGTACCCGCCGTGGGCGGAAATCCACTCTGCCATGGCAAGCACGATCTCGTTGTGCAACTGGATAGCCCGATGCGGTGCGGCATCACCGGGAAGTGGAGCGCGTGAAGACCCGCGACATCCAAGGGCCTGCCGCACGCGCCTTGTCGCTCGTCGCCGTCGCCAGCGGCGCTGCCAGACTATTGGACAGCGCACGTGGCCGCGGCATCAAGCAGGTCAGCAAGAGGCGGCGCCAGCGCCGGAACATGACAACGAAGGAGGCGCCGTGGAGGGCCAGCTCGCCCTCCCGCATAAAACCGTTCCAGCAGGAGCGGGCGCCGAGCCCGCCGCCTGACAGCAGCCGCGCCTGACGCGCCGCGGGCAGGCGGGCCCAGAGGCGGGTGGCCGCGAGAGCAACGAGGACGCAGAACGCCCGAGCGGCGAGACGGCGACGGCCCGCCCGCGTGCCCTCGTAGTCCTGGCTCGCCTGCGGGAGCGGCAGATGGGGCGAATGTGATGATGAGTCTGGGAGGAGAAGAGGGGGACAGATCGGGGGAGGTGTTGCGCTGCGCGGCGGGGTCCAGAGAAAACGAGGGTCCCACTCAGAAACTGCGGTATACACATGGACCTTCGGAGCTCCACGCGGACTTCTTGCATCGGCGCTGGTCACACCTGGAGGCGCCACTGGCGCCGCCCCTGGCGCGCTACGCGCGCCAGCGAGGGGGGGCCAACGCAGATCCAAGAAACTCGCGCGGAGCTCCGAAAGCTTACGTTGACGTCATGGTTCGTTCCTTCATGCGATCCTGCAGAGACGGGGCGTTTGTTCGCGGATGCCCACCCCGCGCGGAACGTGTCCGTGCGACTGCGCGTCCGCACGATCGCGGCCCAGAATCCGGACCGCAAGGGCGCGTGCGCATATGGATATATATATATATATATATAGGCCACTCGTGGCCTGCGCCTGGCCTCTCTGAGTCAGCGGGGCCGCGTCGGTCCTGCCGCCCACGAGCTCTGGCTGCACGTTCATGGCAGACTCCCCGTGCCGGATGAGGAGGATCCTCATGTGCAGAAGGCACCTATACACCACAAGCATGCCTGGCCAGGGCCATCCTGGGACCTGGAGGGTTCATGCAGCATGCTGGGGCCCAGGATGGCACTGTCCAGGCATGGTGGTGGCATAGGCTGTTTCTGCGAAGCGAGAAGCGGCATTAACGTAAACTTCCGGAGGTCCGCGCGGACTTGTTGGCCCGGCGCTGGACCCCAATCCTCTGGCGCGCGAGTCGCGCCAGGAGCGGCGCCGATGGAGCCGCCTGGGGGGATCCAGCGCAGAGCACAACGTCGGCGCGGAGCCCAGTGATTGCTTCACGACGTGATCCCCCAAGTTCTGGACCCCTTCTCCAGGACCGGCTTTTCATTCTGAGTCGTTGAGTGACGGTCCACAGCCCTCAGGAGCCTGAAACTGCAGAGCGAAAACATCCACCGTGTTTGGTCCACGACGCGAAGGATGCCTGGACCCTCCGAAGGTGTATGTTGATGTCGCTTTTCTTGAGGGGGTCGACAGGGGAGCATTGGCACAATGGCGTGGAATCGACACCACCGATGGCGACAGGCCCACCAAAGCGAAATCGCACGTGCCCGGCCCAGGTGGGGGGCCCAGGCCCCGATGAGCGACGAATGGGCGGTTTGGGGTCGACGCTTCCCCCCCCTCGGCCAGTTCCCTGCCGTTGGGAGGAACGAGAACTGCATTAACATAAATGATGCCAGAGAACAAACCCAATCATATAATATGTATAGGGCTATAGGGCTATGGGGGCTATAGGCTATAGGGCTATAGGGCGATAGGGCTATAGGGCTACAGGGAAATAGGACAATAGGGCTATAGGGCTATAAGGCTATAAGGCTGTAGGGCTATAGGGCTATAGGGCTATTGGGCTATTGAGCTACAGGGCTATAGGGCTATTGGGCGATAGGGTTATAGGGCTATGTGGCTACAGGGCTATAAGGCTGTAAGGCTGTAGGGCTATAGGGCTATAGGGCACCCGGGCGTGCCGCCGAAATCGGCGGCGCACCTAACCTAACCATATGAATCCGCTAGGACCCCTACGGAGGCAAGCTCTGATTGGGGAACTTTGTGAGTGGGTGATTGCGGGTCGACGCTCACCCTCCTGGGCCAGCCCCCCCTTATCGTTGCCCCTGGCTTCTGACCCTTCGGAACGAGGAGGATCCTCACCGCCCGTCTGCCGGCGCGCTCCCTGCGCTCCCTGCGCCGCCAAGCCATGTCCAGTGCCAGCAGCCTCCGCGCCGGGGGGCGCCCGCACGGGGGCCAGGCCGCGGGCCAGCAGCAGCTGGAGGGCGGCATCGCTCAGGGTGCCGCGACGCCGCGGCGATCCTGGCGGCCGAACTGCCCCGCCCAGCCAGCATTCGAGTGCTGAGCGCTGCGGCGAGCAGGCTGTGTCCTTTCGGCATTAGCTCAAGAACGCCTTACACTGCACATCCTCGAATGCCATGCGATTCAAGACTCGCAAAGCAAATCAGGGCAACCCAGCGAGCAGAATGTGCATCCTGGCGCTCTGGCGCCCATAATGCTAGGCCTCCCAGATGGTGTCGGAGTGGATGAGGTCGAAGGGTCGCGCCGCATCGCCGATGCACCGGCGATGCGGCTCGATGTGGAGCCTGATTTTCTCCACGCCGACGTCGCCGTTGCATCGCCGACGTCGCCGATGGATAGGCGATGCATCGGCGACGTCGGCGCGATCTTTCGACCCAATCTACTCGGACCCCATGTGGGAGACCTCTCAGGTTACGCATGAGCGGCGCAAAAGACGAGGGTCTGACGCACGGTGACATAGCGACCTGACCGCGGTGGCGTGCGCGGGCCGCCGGCGCCGCACGCTGCATTGGAAACAGAGCGCTTGCGCGCCGTCTCAAGCAGGCAGCTTGCGCGAGAATGTCAGCGGAGTCGGCCCTATTTTTGTTGCATCGCTCACACGGGATCGCGTGTCGAGGTCGCGCCTGGCGTCTAGACCGCAAGGGCGTGGACCTGCACAGCGCGCAGCATGGCGACCCCAGTCCGCAACTCTGTGGGTCTTGCCAAGCTTGGGGATTTACGGTGGGAGGGCGACAAGAAGCTGTTGATCAAGCTTGGGCATGTACGACGGAAGGGCGTTCATCCTCCGTACTGGTGCGTCCGCGTAACCACCCTGGGGGTGCACATCCGCAGTCACCTTGTTTTCTGAGCGGCCATTTCTCGGCGGGACACTCGGGGATGTGGGGGCGAGAAGTCGCGTGCGATTGGATAAGCCCGTCGCCCATGACATCCGACGATGTTTTCAACGTGCGGCCCCAGGGTTCCCGACCCCTTCCCCGTGGGTAGTTTTTCGACCTGGATCCGTTTCTGATCGTCCTGGGACCTGCAGGCTGGCTGCCCAAAGCGGCCGACATCGACGAAAGAGCGTGAAAAGATAGCCTGGCGAAAGACCCAACCATGTTCAGCTGCGAGTTCCGCAAGACAGGTGGAGACTACGGGGGGGGCCTAACAAAAGGACTAAGGAGTGCGTGGGAAGGACGGGGCGACATTGCTGATGGGGTCGCAGCGGTCGGCCGTAACGGATTACATCTGGATGTAAACCGTTACGGCTGATCTGAGAAACGTGTGAGAAGTATGCCGGCATGGGCACCGTCACGAATGCGAATGCTGCCACTGAAGCCTTCAGTGAAGCTCCCAATCGGGCCACGAAGTGTAGGGGTGCGCCGAAATTGGCACGGTCACGCATGAGATTCCTGTCACTGGAACCTTCGTTGGAGCTCCCTACGGGGCCACGAAGCGTGTGAGCGGTGTGCGGAAATTGGCGCCGTCACGCACATTCCTGCCGCTGGGGCCTTCGGTGAATCCCCCCATTTGGCCACGAAACGTGTGAGGGGGGTGCGCCGAAAGGATGTGGACCAGGTATGCGAAGGCAGCCACTTGGGCCTTAGGTGGAGCTTCCAACGAGGCCACGAAACGTGTGACGGATGCGCAGAAATTGTGCGGGACCAGGTACGCAAAACCAGCCACTTGGGCCTTAGGTGGGGCTCCCTATGGGGCCACCAAACGTGTAACGGGTGTGCCGAAATTGACATGCGGAAGGCAGAGGCAGGTTTGGGCGGAGGGAGGAGGGACGTGGGGTGGTGCTTATTCAAAACGAGGACCCAACTCAACACTGGATGGCCGGGAGCGAAGACAGCCATAAACCGTTTGAGATCTGGAGATCCGCCCGTGGCCCGTGACCTTCACCAGGCGGAGGCAGCCAGCGGCCCGCCACAGCGCGTGCTTTTCTCGACCGCCCGCGGAGCTCTCCGCGTCGGTGCTGGGCGACGGGCGCCCGGGGGCTGGCCTGCGAGGGCGGGGATCATCTGTAAGCTGGCGGCGCTCACAAAGGGGGCAGGGGGGGGAAGGCTTCTTAGAACGAGGCTGCTTCTTAGAAGGTGCCAGCCATACATCTACAGGTACGGCCCGCGCCTTCTAAGAAGCAGGGGTGTTTCTAAGAAGCCTTCCCCCCTGCCCGTACCCCTCCCTGCGCGTGGCCGGGCAAGAGCAAGACGGAGGCACCGAAAGATCGATATATACATATATATATAGAGAGAGAGAGAGAGAGAGAGAGAGAGAGAGAGAGGGCGAGAGAGAGCGACAGAAAGCTGATGAAAGAACAACGCACGCCCAAACCTATGGGGAGAAGGAATAAGGAAGGGCAAGGCGATGCAGGCGCTTTCGGTATTGGCGCGGGCTGTCGGACCCGAAGGGGGGCTCCCGCTCGAGCGGGAACCCCAAGCCGACAACACACGCACACACACACACACACACACAAACACACACACACATAGCCCCCTCTCAGAATTCCACCCCGAGAAATCTGGGCTGTCGCAAAGGCACGGGTGCTAGTTGTCAGCTCACGAAGAGCTAAGTGTCAAGCACATAAGCACCAATTCCAGAGCCCCACGCGGCATCGCAGTTCCGCTCTGCGGCTGTGCACCAGGCTGGAGCGAGCACTGCACTGTACCGCCAGAGCTGCGGCAGGGCCTCCGCACCCCCTTCAGCTTCGACAGGATGAAGGTACATTCGAATGTGCGGGGTGGGAATGTCCTCGGCCTCCTCCTCCTCCTCCTCCTCCTCCTCCTCCTCCTCCTCCTCCTTCTCCCCCTCCTCCTCCTCCTCCTCCTCCTCCGTCGTCTTCGTCGTCGTCGTCGCCGTCGTCATGGATAACCATCGCCTGGGAGACCGATCTTCGAGGACCTCGGCAGGCAGTGGGCCGACAATATATACACACATATATATATATATATATATATATGTATATATATATATATACATAGATGTTGTCGGCCCCCCGCCTGCCAAGGTCCCTGGCAATCGATTCCCCCAGGCGGCGGCTATGGATAGGCCCCCGCCTCGGAGGATGATGATAAGTCGAGAATCTCTGAGAGCTGGCGGGCCTGGAGGACGTATCAGACGCCACGGCCATTCCAGAGAGTCCCGGGACGCTCTGAGAGCGTTCCGGAGGGCTTTGGAGCGCCTTTATCCTCATCCTAGAGAGAGAGAGAGAGAGAGGAGGTAGACCAAGGGAGAGCCAGAGTCGTGCAGGAATGTCTACAGGTAGAGAGCTCCCAGACGGCGCCTGCGAAAATCCTACGCCTACTGGCCTCCTGCATATCCCCTCGCGCCCCCTCGTAACGTCCAGTATCGCCAGGGGATACCAAAAGCCTCCAAGACAGCGGAGGGCGCCGACTGTACATCCACACCGGTCCTGGGCCCAGGATTGGCCCGGCCAGGATCAGTATACTCCGTCTAGTTGGCGGCGCCCTCCGACACAGGAGAAGAGGGCGGGATGGGTGCGCCAGGTACCCACAGCGCGCGACTGGCGAGAGGAGATGGGGCGAGCGGGGGGGAGAGGAGAGGCGAGGCGAGGCAGGACTGGGTCAGGAAGGGTGCCCCTGATCCCTACCCGAGGGTCGGCGCATCGGCCCGAGGCTGCCCGTTCTGCTGCTGCCCGCGCTCGATCCTGCGGCTATGCGCCGCTGCCCTGCCTGGGGGCAGGCTCCTGGGCTCAGGTCGGGCATGTCCCGCTACAGGGGGATGTTGAACGACAACTTCTTCTCAAATGGTCGAAAATAAAAGAAAAGTCGTCCCCTTGCTATTTCTGACTATTCTTGAAGATTCCTCCTGTAGAGGGACAGGCCCGACTGAAGCCTGGGCGCCGCCAGCGCAGGGCTCGCCTCGTTCAGTGCTCCAGCTGGTCGACGTTCTTCGAAGGCTGGCGTGGACCTGGGGGGCCGCGCGCCAGCTCGAGTGCGATGGAACAAACGTGCAACCACGCGCTGCAGCGGCAACGGTTCAAGTGTGGTGCAGTGGCAACGGTGCTGGGTCCAAGCCGGCGGCGCACCCAGGGGGGAAAGCGTGAAGGAGAAGGCCTTCGCAGAAGGCTCGGAAGTGCCCTGGCTTTCTGAAAAGCTTCTTTTCGAAGCCTTCCCTGAAGACACAGGAAACTTCAACAACAGGCGCGAGGACTTCTGAGAAGTCCCGCCGCCTTCTGAGAAGGCCTTCTCCTCCTCACTCCTCCCCCCTTGCTCGCCGCCGACACACGTGAACCGAGCATCGATGCCACTGCATTGCGTCAGAGGGCGCCAACCGTACACCTGCACCTATCACCGGCCAGGCCCGCCTGGGCACCTGAGGTCCCAGGAGCGCCGCGCACGTCCGCCTCTGGCTCGGCCGGGAGGGCACACAGACACAGACACACACACACACACACACACACACCACAGCACCAGAGAACATCATCAACAACACCACATCACATCGTCATCAGCAGCATCGTCATCATCAGCATCATCATCAGCAGCAGCATCATCAGCAGCATCATCATAAACATCATCATCACCATCAGTTCAGCATCATCAGCATCATCATCAGTAGCAACATCATCATCACCATCATCAGCATCATCATCAGCAGCATCATCGGCATCATCATCACCAGCATCATCAGCAGCAGGAGGAGGAGGACGAGGAGGAAAAGCTGCACGACAACGAGGCTGACACCGACGCCGACGCGGACGACCCCGCTGGCCAGACCGACGGGGCCCCGCACTTTTTGACGGGCCGAGGCCGCACGGGCCGAGGCCGTGGCGGCGCCGCCGGCGCCG